GCTCTATAATTTCAAGGGATGGTCATTAAGAGGCTTTTAAAAGACTTCCTTATAGTTTATGACAAATTGTTTACACAGTGACTTGTGAAGTTTGTATAAATATCATAAAACTGGGGTAGGTGGTGTGGTGCTTAAGGTGCTAGACTCCCACATAGCAGACTGTGGTTCATGTCCCAGACCTGGCAGCTTGCTTTCCTCATTTTCTCACTTTCCTCTGTCTCTTTCTGTCAAACTAAATAATAATAATAATAGTAATAATAATAAGTAAAATAATTATTTAAAAATAAAAAAATAAATAAATAAATAAATAAAGAGCAAAAAACTAAAAGTTCAGAACAGCAGATGGCAGTGATTAAGGTGTTGGATCCCATGTATCCAATTACATGGTTTGAATCCTGAGCCTGGTGGCTTGAAAAAAAATGCCTGAATGTGTGTGTGCACGCCCAAAATCCCAAGAAGAGAATGGAAGAGAAGGGACTGCAGGGTGGTCATCCTCCCTGGGGGATGATTTTTCACTTTCCCTGTCTCTGTCTCTGGCAAGTGCACACATCCTATACTATGGCAAAAATCTAAAAAGCGAATAAAAAACTAAGTTTACTTCAAATGTTATTATACTTTTTACATATGATTTAATTGTAATGAAAAAGGAGATAAAGAATAGAATATTTAAAAATCCTCTATTTCAGTAAGTTTTATTCCCTAATTTGGTCTACACCACAAATACGAGAACTGCTGAGAGAGATGATCAATCCAACACTCAAGAACCTACTTATGTCATTCAGGTATAGAAAATTCAAGAGTAAAATACACTCAATAACTATCTATATTGAGAGATCAGCAGATCGTGTAATGGTTATGTCGCTGGACTCCCATATGGCAGACTGGTTTGAGTCTCAGACCTGGAGGCTTAAAACACACTTGGCACATGTGTGTGTGTGCCTAAAGTCCCAAGAGGAGAATGGAGAAGGAATTGCAGCATGGCCATCCCCCCTCGGGGGGGGGGTGATTTCTCACTTTCTGTCTCTCCGTCTCTCTCTGCTGATTTAGCAAGTGCATGCGCCCTATAGCAAAAATCTCTCTTAAAAAAAAAAAACAACAACTACCTACATTAAAGTTTTCTGATTGGCAGATCCTCGTAAGCCATACACTACACTACAGAACTTAATAAAATGTAGCCTCGTAATTCTACATGTGCCTGGCTTAATTTTAAGCCATGGGGTCCAGGACTCGAACCGTGGTCGACTACATGGGAGTCCAGTGACATAGCCATTACACTAACTGCTGGTCCCCATATAAATTATTTTTAATAATATTAAATGAGATGCTGAATTCAGGTGCCATAGAAAAGTTATTACCCTTACCAGCCAGGTGAAGAAAGCGCTAATGTGAGGTTAAGTGTAGAGGGGTGAATTACTTCCTTAATGAAGGAAAATTCACCTCATCTGTAAAACAATTTTCTGTGTAACGAAAATTTCCACAAGATATTATACTCTGCTATGGATAATTAAATATGGTAAAGCTAGGTAAATGGTCAGTAATCTACCAGATACCCACTAAAATTGTTTCGAAAGTTTAAAAATGGAACCTCAGAATTCTAACTTCCAAGCTAGTCTCTTGCTATAACCACTCTAGGGTTCTCTGATGCTCTCAGTCTGTTATTAGAAAAAGTATGGAGTCGGGACCAACAGATGGCATAATAGTTATGTTGCTGGACTCCCACATAGGTGACTATGGTTCGAGTCCCAAACCGGGAGGTTTAAAAACACACATTGGGCACATGTGTGTGCGTGCCCAAGATCCCAAGAGAATGGAGAAGGGATTGCGATGTGGCTAGCCCCCCTGGGGGTTGATTTCTCACTTTCTGTCTCTCTAGCCAGTGTATGTGCCCTAGAGCAAAAATCTCTCTCTCAAAAAAAAAAAAAAATGGAGTCAACTAACTTCACCAAGTCCACACCTAAAGTCATTACATTGCTGGCAGTTATTGCCAATTATCACATAACGAAGAAATTATATCTTAAAGAAAACACAATCATTAACATTTTTCGATGGTCATTATCTTTTATTTATTAAACAAAATGTATGAAGTAAATTTTTTTTAAAAAAGAATTACCGTATTTAACTTTATTTATTTATTTATTTATTTCAATTTTACCAGAGAGGGACAGAGAGAGAGACAGACAGACAGGCTGACAGAGAAAGTTAGCTGCCAGATCTAGGACTTGAACCGTAGCTGGCCATGTGAGAATCCAGAACTCTTAACCATCATGCCACCTGCTGGCCCCTGAAGTCAATTTTTTTTTAGAGAGAGATTTTCACTGCCAGACAGACAGAGAGAGACATAGAGACAGAAAGCGAGAAATCACCCCCCAGGGGGGATGGTCATGCTGCAGTCCCTTCTCCTCCATTCTCCTCTCGGGATCTTGGGCATGCACGCACATGCGCCCGGCGTGAGTTTTAAGCCACCGGGTCCGGGACATGAACCGCGGTCGACTATGTGGGAGTCCAGCGACATAGCCATTACGCTAACTGCTGGTTCCCGTCCCTGAAGTCAATTTTTAAAGAGGGAGCACATAACACTAGATTTTAGCAAACCAAAGGCAAGCTGGCACAAAAACTCTTATGAATGTTAATCCACATGTGAATTTGTGGTGAAGCACAGTGAAACTCTTGACTTCCTAAGTTTAAGTCAGAACACAGTATCTGAGAAGCCATGAAAATCAGTACAGTTTTGCTCTGGACCAAGAAGAACCAAGTGAATCTTAAGACATTTGTTTGCTCCTTTCTGATCAATTTAGTTTAATTCACATGTCATTATAGTGGCAGCTCTCATGAGGTAATTTCAAGCAATTTGTTAATATAACAGATAAAACAATCATGCAGAAATACAAATGACCACTAAGTCAACGGAGCTATCACTAGTCACAACATACATGTATGGTAGAAGTCTTGCTTTATTTCTTCAGACAAGTGTCCTCTTATTCTAGAGCTATAGAGACTAATAAATGGAGTAGAAAGGAAGGAGATAAGGAACTGGTGAGTTGGTCCATACTTTAAGAAAGCATATCGAATTAAAAACCAAACACAAACAAGGAACAATTGTTTAAAGGAAACCTGCAACAAGTAAAAAACTATTTAATACTACATCACAGTGCTTTGATTCTCAATAATTTACCCATTATTTTTCAGGAACATAATTATATGAAGTGAAATACACTTCTCTGGTAAATGTGAGGCAGAAGCACCAGTAAAATTGCTGGCCAGGTAGAACTATGGGGACCCAAAATATATTAGAAGACTGTGAGGCTGTACCACAGAGCTATAAGATCCATTTTAAAATCCATTTTAAATATATCCTGACCTAGTCTAAATGAGCTCAAGTGGATAATTTACATCACTGGGTAATTATGAACATCTACTCTCAAATTTTCATCTAGAAAATAACTGCATCTAATAAATGGGAAGATTTTTACAAAATAACACTTGTAATTTTTAAAAATCAGAACATGGCAAAATATCAAGTTTAATGGGGCAATTTTATGTTGCTGTATTTTCAAGAGGGCCTTTTTAGGAGCTGGGTAAAATGAATAGATGTTGCGAGATAAAAAAAAAAAAAAATGTCCTACAAGACCTCAGAATCTTCTCCACTCCGGAGGTGGCTAAAAAAAGAGAATATAACAGAAAACACTTGTTGCCAATTTACATGTATTGATTTGACACTTATTTTCTTTCATTTTATCCTTTCAACTCAGTGAGATTGGCACCATTTTACAGAACAGTTAAAGCGATGTCACCTCCATAAATCTCCACCCAACCCGTCAGTCATATGGTTTTAACTATAATTTGCCCGGTTTAAAAGTCAGTTTTCTGTTTCCCCTCCCCATCCCATTCAGATTATAAACACTTCAATAGCTGGAAACCGAATCTTTACTGTGTTTGTGCCCAAGCATGCCTTGTGGCACATACAGGTGCTTAAGGTTAAGTCGATGAAAAAATATGGCCAATGTCATCCAACAAGTAAGAGGTAAGGTGGGAGGCACGCGCAGGCTTCGGGCTCTTCCCTATTCTCAGGACCTCACCTGCCTAAATTAAGCCTGGGCCACCATTTCAAGGCCACCATCCAAACTAGAAAATCTCACCAAAAAGAGCTCTTGGCTCTCCCAACATCCAGAAGTAGGAATGCCCCTGCCCAAGACAGGCGGTCTCAAAATAACACTCTCTGGAGACTTGAAATACTTGGTCAAGGAACAGTTCTCGGTATTTAAAACTTAAAAATTGGGGACAGGATGGGTTAGGCAGGAAGAGTTAAACTTCCGTATGTTCCTTGGGTTTGGTTTACAACCGTAGCTTTGACAAAAGAGGCAGCGCCGAGACGCTCCAGAGAGAAATTCATGAGGGCGTTGTAACCGCCTTCGAGAGGGGATCCCAAGGCTTGAAAACTTGGAGACCAAGTGAAACGTGCTAATCCGGAGCGGTCAGCAATTCTGAGTCAGCCCTGGACTTCGGCGGTCTGCAACCCTCCCCCCACTCCCGAAGCCTCATTTGAAGCTTATCTCCAGGGATGCGATTGGGGCACCTCCCTTTCTCCTCACCTCCGCCCCCACTCCCAACCGGGTTTTGAGAAAAAAGTTAAGTCCACAACTGGGAACTAGCCCCTGTCACCAGCCAATAGATGCCACCAGTCTAGGTCGAGCACTGGGTCCTCAGCCCCCCTCCCCCCGCAACACGGGCAGCGCCAGGGCAGGTACCAGATTCCTCCTGGGCCTGGAACGAACCCCTTCCTCCCTTGCCCGGTCCCACCCAGAGCAACTGCTCGTCCCAAGAGGCATTCTCAGGGCTGGGTGGTGGCGGTGGCGGTGGTGGTGGCGGAAAGGTGGTGGCGGGAGAAGAACCCCAGTCCCTCTGCCCAGAGGGGGCCGGCGGCGACGAGTAACTGTTTTCCTCACCAGCTTTTAAGGGGCGGCGAACCCGACCCCGAGGCAGGTGCGGGCGGCCACACTTACCTGTGAGTCCCCCTCCGCCTTCCTCCCCGTCGCCCCGGCGCGGCGGCAGCACGAAGTAGTCGTTGGACCTTTCCATCATCCACAGCTTCAGCGCATTTTTCAGGAGCACTTCCTCAGGCTTCAGCCACATCGCGAAGAACTTTGTGCCGCCCGGGAGCAGCGACCTAGCTGTCCTCCCTCACCTCACCCTCAACCCGTCCGTTTGCTTCTACTTCTCCCACCCAGTCTTCCCGAGGCGGCAGCGGCTCAGGTTCAGGGTTTCCACACTTCCCCCAACCCTCCCTTCTCTCCCACGTAGGCAGCGAGATTGCCAATTCCCTCCCACAGCGCTACCGCCCGACTGGGAAATAGTCCCGCTTCTTCACCTCCTGGGAGTTGTAGTTTTCTACTCGCTTTTCTGTATCCAGGCTGCCGGAGCGCGGGACTACACTTCCCACAATACACAGGGGTGAGACCCAGTGGGGGTGCTTTCAAAGCGGGTCCCGCCACCCAGTAAGTGTGTCCAGCCTATCTAAAGTTTAAAGCGTTTTGGGGGGGGGGGGCTCACACAACACACGGGGGGGGTTCAAATAAGTCAACCTCCCGTATAGAGGTAGTGCCTCTCTTCATCCTTTTACAGCAGAGGGGGTTAAACAGTAGAACACAAAGTTTCCGGAATTTCGGAGTGATGGCCCGTTTGGAGAAGCAGCAGCAGCAGCAGCAACTAACATTCAGTGCTACCTTGAATTCGGGTAATCCCGAGTAATCCAGTAATCTTCGTCGAAGTTTTATGAAATACTGGAATCTTTTTCCCACTTTGCATATCAGTAAACAAAAGGGCTGATGGGTGAGGTGACTTAGCCAAGGTCGCACAATGATAGGTTTCCAAGTCTAAATCCAAAATTCTTGCCTACGTTAAGCTCATTCTGCTCCCTTAGGAAAAGGATAAAATCTCCAGAAGCTGCTTTTTTTGCTGCACGCCCTGCACCTCCCCCTTCTTCCTCTGCTGCGCCTGTTTAGTTAACTACTGTTATATGTCGTAGAAAATCTCTTGTCCAGCTTTTCCTTTTCAGGATCTGAACAGTTTATGAACTTTTTTTTTTTTAATTTGCCAGAGGGCATATGCACTAGCGACAGCGAGAGACAGAAAGTGGGAAAGCACCCCCCCACCCCATGGGGAATGATCATGCATTGATCCTTTTTCCTCCATTTCCCTTCTTTTTAGGATTTTGGGCACTCGTGCACACATGCCTTGCATGTTTCTCAAGCCACGGGGACTGGTACTCCAATCCAGGGTTGGCCATGTGGGGTGCAACCACCCTAAGCCATGAGGCCAGGAACTGGCCCTATGAGCCATCTTTTGTTACTTCGTTTCTTCCTTTTTTCTTTTCCCTTTGCCTTCTGAAGCTCCTTCAAGAAAAAAAGAAATCTCTTTCAGGGCAGCCTTCACCTCTTTATATCTTGGCAATTATATGTGGTGACTTAAATGCTTAAGTGAATGAAGGTCAATAATCTGCCAGATATCACTATAAGAAATCTCTTGAGGGGTGTTTCCATTTTTTTTTGTGTTAACAGTCCACCCAAGTTAAGGACTACACTGAAAGCATTATAGGAAGGAAGGAGTTGGGAGACAATGTACAAACATATGGGTCTTGGCAAATTGTTTTCGAAATGAACCCCTAAGTCCACAAGGCTAAAAAGAAAGGGGAGGGCCACGCAAATGTGGAGTCCTTAAAGCCCAGAAGCTCTGCACAGGAGGAGAATCTCCTGTGTACTCTCACAGAACATGGACTATCTCAAGTGACCAGGAATGTGATACAAATTGGGATTTTTCTTGTGGGTGAGACAAGGGGCAATCTTGGATTTCTTCTATTAAAAGGCAGCTTTCTAGAGAGTATGGGAAAGGGCAATCTTTCCAGGGCCCAGACTGTGATGGTGTGTCCTGGCGAACAGCCATCTCAATTTGGATGTGTACTAAGGAAGATAATTTCTTCTCGTCTTCCTGGTCAAGAATCAGTAAGCATAGCAAATAAAGATAGGTAAGGAGTCTTTCTTTTTACTGTTCCTTCTCCTTTCTATTTCCTTTCTCATCAAACCACAGTCTTTCCCAATAAACTTAAGGTTAGAGTTGTGCCAAAAGCAGTCCAGCACTGGATGATTTTTCTCCCTCTTTACTCTGCAACTTCTTGCATATACCCACATATGCCCACAAACTCCCTGTTACAAAATTAGGCCTACTTTTGTCTCAGAGCAGGACATTTAGACAGCTATTGCTTTACTAAATAAACAGCTCACTGATGAAGAAAACATTCTTTTCAAATGAAATTACTTCTGTGAAATAAAATTTTGCCTTGATCATAAATTATTTCAGGCCTTTCAAATAAAAGCCTAACTGCAGATTTAAACATTTAATTTATGATAATAGAGCACATGTAGGCACTTGCATATGGGAAAGAGGAGGGAGCACTTATGATGGAAAACCCTCATGCCAAGATCCCCTTTCTATTTTTTTTTTTTAATGTAGAGAGAGGTTGTTGCTATAGGGTGCATGCGCTTGCCAGAAAGACAGAGACAGAGAGACAGAAAGTGAGAAGTCACTCCCCAGGGGGTTGGCCATGCCAGAATCCCTTCTCCATTCTCCTCCCGGGATCTTGGGCACGCACACATATGCACCTGGCATGAGTCGACTACATGGGAGTCCAGTGACATAGCCATTAATTACGCCAGCTGCTGGTCCCAAAATCCCCTTTCTTCAGCCTTCTAGCTCATCAAGATGTTGGGCACTAGAGCAGACAGGTGTGCTTTTTCAGGCCCACATGTGGCCTCCAGCAGTGCAGTTTAGTTTGTTACTGACTATGCCACCAGGATGGACCATTAAAGTATTTTTCTGAAAGCATCTTTAAAAATACAGAATGTTGGGGCTGGCAGGAAGTGTGGAGGTTAAGGGCGCTGGACTCCCACATGACCGACCACAGTATAAGTCTTGGACCTGGAGATTTGCTCTCTCACTTTCTCTCCCTCTCTGTCTCTCTTTGGTCAAATTAAAATAAATAAAGTAAAATAATCCTTTAAAAAAATACAGCATGTCGGGACCGGCGGATGACATAATAGTTATATTGCTGGATTCCCATGTAGTCAAATGCAGTTCTAATACTGAGAGGAGACTGGAGAATGGATTACAGTGTGACCATCCCCCACCTGGGTGTGATTTCTCTGTCTCTCTGTCTGGCGAGCACACATGCCCTATAGCACAAGTCTCTCTCTAAAACAAAAGTACAGCATGTCATTCTATTCAACTTACAATTGTATACATTTAATGTAAGTTGCTTAGGGAAGGAAGACTGGGATTTTGAACTGCCCTCAGTGTCATTGCTGGCATGTTCTGGAGGTATGTATCTATATAAATTTACTTTTCCTTAATAAGCTTGTATATTTTTTAAAGAATTATTTTTAACTTTATTTATTATTATTATTATTATTACTTTCCAGTTGGATCAGAGAGAGAGCGAGAGAAAGTGAGAAAGCAAGCCACTAGGTCCAGGACTTAAACTGTGGTTAGCCATGTGGGAATCCAGCACCTTTAACCACCACACCACCTGCTAGCCCCAATAAACTTGCATATTTTTATACGCTTACTGCACAGGCAAAGAAAAAAGAGGCTCAGAAGAGTTAAGTAACTTGCCTATCTAAGATCACATAACTCAATAAGCTGGGATTTGAACCTAATTTGACTAACTACAAGACATGACACTATACTGTCTATGCATGTGGTCCATAGATACCTCAAATACCACATCCAAAGACAAACTTATTTTTCCAACATTGCCCCTGCCCGATGTAATTTCTCCTAGTTCTCTTGGTTCATAACACCACTATTTACCAAGGACGCTCAAGCTAAGAACCTTGGAATAATCTTAGATTTATTTCTTTTATCATTCCATTCCCCTACCTCCACCAGTACCCCCCTCCCCCGCCACACACAACCTCTACTTCTTTTTCAAAAGTTCATCCCATCCTCCTATTATGGCTTTGTATTAGCTTTACACCACTTTTCTGCTATCCTATTATAATAGCTTCCCAACTCATTTGTCTGCTTACATTTTTGTTTTCTCATTTATCTAAGCCACGTATTTATGAATCCAATAATATATCACATGGAGATGAATAATTCTTAATTTGTCCAGAGGTCAGCTTCCAAATCACAGCCTTAAACACCTAGGAGAGGAGGTATAAGGAAATCACAATTAGCGATTTGAAGCCCTGTGTGACTGAAAGGCTGAGACTGTCAGGATTTTACCGGCTTCTTATTTGAAGTGAACTTCACTAGCTTAGTTTATGCTTTTTAAAAAAGACAGTCTGCAGCAGGTTTAGAAGCAGTAAGATTCAAAATAGGTAGAGCACAGCTACAGGAACGCCATTTAAAGGTTTGCTCTTCAATGTAGATCCCAGGCCAGCAATATCTTCATCATCCAGTAGCTTGTTAGAAATTCAAAATCTCAGATCCCATTCCAGACCTCCTGGATCGAAAAGTTAAATTGCATTTTAATGCAACCTCCAGGTAATTTATAGGCATATTAAAGTTTTAAGTGCAGTGACTTAAAGCAAATTAGATATTTGAAAATCAAACTACAACAAATTAGGAGTGATTAATCCCTTTCCCATTAAGACCCTCAAAGGCATCGTTTAAAAAACAAGCTGTTAATTAATTTTATATGATTGAATTGCCTTTTAAAAAAGATTCTATCAGGACATTTCTGTTAAGAGTTTTTCTAAGGCAGTGGTTGAGAAATGGTACATAAATTGGAATTATAGTTAGAAGGAAAAATTGCCACTAACCGCCCATGCTAACTCCTGTTTATACTACTCTCTTCTCCATCAAAGTGTAGGTATTCCTATGAGTACCTCACACTCATTAGATTGTTTTTATGTAGAAAAAAAGGTAAAATTTAAAAATAAAAAAGGGCCAGCTAGTGGTGTGGTCGTTAAGGTGCCTAGATCCCATATGGCCAACTGTGGGGTCCAAGTCCTGGACCAGGTGGCCTGGAAAATATGTGGTGCACGTGTCCATGCATGCAAGACTCCTAAAGGAGAGATGAAAAAGGGATTGCAGCATGATTATCTCCCACGGGGGTGCTTTCTCACTTTTCCTTTCTCTCTGGTAAACTCTAACTCTTTTGGCCCTAAAGCCAAAAAAAAAAAAAAAAAAACAAGAACTG